ATTAATCAGAAAATATTTATTTAATCTATTTGGAAAAAGTGGAATGTTACATTGTCAATCCGCAATTTTGGCCCTCCTATTTTAAGAGACATTTTGTTCCCTTATTTTTAAAAATGCAAAATATTGATCATACTGTCAATTTGATGTTGCTTAATCACTAAATTTAATGTTGTTTAGTGACATGCAATCAATTAAATAGTTGATATTTAATGACATGTTTGTAGAAATAAAAATTAAAAAATAAATTACAAAAGATCTTCGTTTGTATTTTTAATGATGATGGGTACTTATTTTATTAATAAATCTTACTTTTATTATGTTTTTAGTTTTCTTTATCTCCAAATGTTATGTTACTAAATTTTACATCATTTAAGTATGAGTTAAACGTTGAATTTAGTAATTAACCGATGTCAAATTGATGAGAGGACTAAATTTTGTGTATATGATTATTAAATGTGTCGTTTTTAAGTTAATAAGTATTTGTCTATATTTACATAAAAGATAGATGTGACACCCTTACTACCCCCAACACATATATTGTAATAATGTAAATAAACTAAAGAAATAAATTTTTCAACATTGGTAAAAGGGTCCACATAAAAACTTTCATAATGTTCTTTAATATCTAAAATAATTGAAAATAAAAGTTGGAAAATAAAACATAAGAGTTTACAAATTGTTTTCAAAAGAATAAGTATAACTCCAAATGCATACAACAATCCATGTTCTAGAAGTCCTCTGCCTCGATGTCACAATATCATAGTACACCCACAATTCAACTGTTGGCATTCTAGATGTCACTCAAAGCCGGATCTTCCTCACCTAAAACATCTACAAATTGTACGGTAAGAAAAGAAAAAATTTATATGTAAAGCACATACAAACACACCACAATGTAATCTCATCATAACTCATTACGTAATGAAATATTTACAATCATTTCTACATATCATAATTCTATTAATCATGCATCATCTTTACATCACAATTCTCAATTACACCAATTCATCACATCATATATTTTGTACTATGTTAAGCTCACACCACCCCTGTAGCATCTCATGCCCAAGGTCGTGCCACGCCAACATAAGTACTAGTTGTCACACACAAATCTTGCAATTAACACTATATCATGCTCACATCACCCCTGTAGCATCTATTGCCCAAGTTCGTGCCACGCTGACATACATGATAATTGTCTCACACATCCCACACTATGTCATCCTCACGCCACCCCTGTAGCATCCCTTGCCCAAGGTCGTGCCACGCCAACATAAGTGTGAGGAACCACAATCATATTTCATTCACAATCATCACAAATCTTGCAATTAACATTATGTCATGCTCACGCCACCCCCGTAGCATTTCTTGCCCAAGGTCGTGCCACGCCGACATACGTGTTAATTGTCTCAATATACCTGATACCCGACGTGGACGGAAATGGGGATGGAAATTATATACCCGACAGGTATAGGTATAGGGAAGGGGATGGGTTTGACTCGCGGGGACAGGGACGGGTATCATGAAGCCTGTACCCGACCCGTTCGTTGACATTCCTAGTCGACGCTTATTTTCCGCTACTTTTTCAGTGTTTTCTTGTAGTGCATGTATAAAATTTTTAAAGTCTTTAACAACATAATCTATATATTTAATAATATATTAAAAAAATAAATTAGCAACACTGATATATAATTAAATAATATTTTTTAAATATTGTCAAAAGTTACTTTTGTTGTATTATATAGATAAATTAAGGTTCAAAATTAATGTCGAAGAACTTTTTTTTGTCAATAGTATTTTTATTTTCCAATAAAAGTATAAATATTTTCTTCTTTTCCTTATTTTTTAAACCTTTATTTATTTAACTTTATAGTACTTCAAATAAAAGAATAGATTAATTAATGTATTAATTGAAGAACATACAAATAACTATTTTTCCAAAAGCAATTTATGACAATTTTCTTTAAAGTATTATATTAATGTAAAGTATTGATTAAAATATTAAATTTTTATTATTTATATTTTAATAAAATTAAAAACATTTATTAGATAGTGTTAAATACCCATTGACCAATAACTAAAAGATTCCTCTCCATGACTCTTTATTGAGCCTAGCAAAATGGACCCGGACATGATAACTTAATTATTAAATGTTCCTATACCATCAAAGGAGGGGAAAGAGAACTAGGAATAGAAAACATATGTATTCAAAACCGAAAGACAAACTAACCGCACTGACATATCCCAGCTTGTAGCAAAAATATCCAAAATATGATTCTACATTAAACTGGCTGAAAGATTAATGTCCCAAGTTTTTTACATGAAAGTTTAATTTTGTGCAGAGGCAAATATGTTAACTAGTCAAAAGGGGATCATAGGGAACTAGAGGTAACAAAAGGACATGAAATCCAACTAAGCAGGATATACTCTAATCAATGTCATAATTGTCAAGTAAAATCCCCCAAAAAAATACTCCATCGTATATTAATGAAGCCCCTTGAAAACAATGGGTGTGTAAATTCCCACCGGTGCATGCAAATAGTCCCATAGATTAGTCTTTCCACATTGCAAGTAAAAGGAAATAATAATAATAATAATAATAATAATAATAATAATAAAATGTACACTTTTAGGAAATGTGGCTCCTTATTTTAAGAAACTCCAATGTTTTTTATGACAACACAAGCTTATGTTCCTCTGCGTCAATTAGCACGCGGTTTTACCCTCCAGTGCCTTATGTGTTAAACGACATATGAATGCGACACAATTGAAACGCATGGAAAAAGACTTTTACACATCTAGAAGCTTTGAGAAAGATAAAAAGTAAGGATAACTTAGAAAGTGAGTTAAAAGTCTAAATTAATTCCATAAAATTAGCTTGTAAGGTTTAGATTGTTTGTCACTGATATAGATTATTGTAACTTTATTTATAAATGATGTGTGATCTCTAACACATCCCTTTATACTTAGAATTGAATATCTTGGACAGAAAGTTTGAATGGCCTTATTTTGAGATAATGTAAGATCTTCAACACATTTTTCTCATGTTGAGAACTGAACATTTCGAGTGTAAAATTTGTCAAATTAGACATCTGCGGGTGCTCTTACGGTGGTCCAATAGCGAGTAGCTTAATAAGTCCATTAGCAATTAATAATCACTAGGATATAGGCATTTGTGGATAGTTTGGCCGATAGTTAGTGATCTAATAAGTCCAACAACAAGAATTATTAGGATAGACTCTGATATACTCTTATACCATCTTAAAAATGTGGGTTAAAAGGTTAATTTAACCTTACAAAATGACTTGTAAGATGGGGATTATTCTCAACTTATATACACTATTATAGTCTTATTCCAAAATAGTCTAGGATCTCCAATAAGATAGATAAGTAATTGATATGAATGGTAATGTGATATAATAACAAGATAGAGCTAGATAGAGAAAAATGTTAAGTGTTCACTTGGATGTTTGAACATGTTGGAGTTTTTGAGAAATACAAGGCTTCAATCCATTTTTTGTCCTTTAGTTTTTCGATTGTGCAATTTGGTCCTCAAAAAAATTGTTATGTTGTAAATTTGGTGCTTTTAGTTTACAAAATTAAGCAATATTTGTCCACCCATTTACATGTAATCTAAAATTAAGCAAAATGTACTAGTATGCCCACAAATGACATTGTTTATTAGTTATTTTATCATATTAGCTTCCATTTAAAGAACAACATTGAGTTTGTTTGTGTTGAGATGCAAGAAAAGTCCCACATCGTTCAAACAAGATGATGAACATGAGTTTATATACACACAATTGTCTCTATTGGTTGAGAGACCTTTTAGGTGATGTTTAAAAGCAAAACTATGAGGGCTTGGGCCCAAAGCGGATAATATCTTACCAATGTGGAGACATGTGTATGTGTGTGGTAACCCCAGTCCCCAACAGTTTGGATATAATCTTATAAGCACCTTTGAGAGCTTAAATATTAAAAATACTCTTTATTTTCAATAGAAAAATTTTCAAAAGCGTTTTTAACTTATCCTAACAAACTTATTATTTTTTACTATAATATATATATATATATATATATATATATATATTTTAAAACAATGTTTTAAAATTTTCAATATTATTATTATCCTATGTATCTAACCGATAGTTACATTCACAAACACATTAACATTTTTTATTTAATATAAATACCTTAATGAGTGAATCAAAATTACTTAATTTTAAAAACTATATGGTGAACAAATTTACAATAAAAGTTTCAAGGGTCCAAAATTGCACATTGGCATGAAACTATAAGAATCAAAAGTATACTTAAGAAAAAATAATCACATTGAATGAATTGTTCCAACAATTTTTTTTTTTCAAGTAAGCACCCACTTCAATATTTAAATTTAGAAGGTGCTATTATATTTCACGAAACTAAGAAATCGTCAACAAAGTTCCTAAAATATCAAATTGTTCTTTAAGATTTAGATATTTACTATCATATTAGTTCCTAGTTAATTATATATTAATGTTATCACTTTAGTTACACATTTTTTTAAGTGTAAGACTAATGTGATTGTTAATTTGCTTTGAAGATTTATTTTACAATTTTGTATTTTTCAAGGACAAATATAATAGCATCTTCCATATTCAAGTATGAAAATGTTGTTTAGTCTCTTTTTTTTTTTTCTCTTAAAAATTTTACCCAATTAGTCCAACATTTTTCATCTATACCCCTTAAACTTACCACAAATTACAAAACCTTCATCGGTTCCCTTGTAATTCACATCTGCATGCAGGGCTGTCATGAAGCCCTAAATACTGCCAAGAAAATCAATCAGCCTCTCATTTCAACCTACCAAATATTAAGAAAAGAGAAAAACCCACTACATTTACAAAACCACTATACGAGTAACCAAGCAAACGTTTCATTACCACTAATTTCACTTTAGTGGATTAGTTTGTGCTAATAAATACTCCTCTACTATGACTGTTCTAACACACACAAGCCCCATGAAAATGAGTTGCTATGGGTGCCGCATTCTCCGCAAGGGTTGCCCTGAGAACTGTGTCATAAGGCCATGCCTTGAGTGGATCAACTCTCCTGAAGGCCAATCCAACGCCACTCTCTTCCTTGCCAAATTCTATGGCCGTGCTGGCTTGCTCAACCTCATCAATGCTGCCCCAGAACCCCATCGCCGTGGTGATTAATTAATTTTCTCCAAATTTATAAACATTTTATTTCACTTTTAGAAATTCCTAATTGGATCCCCTCCAAGACTTCAAATATTACTATTTTATTTTTGTTATTGAAAAGATCACATTTTGTGTCATGATTTTTTTTTTCCACTGGAGCACTACTTGTATCTCATTGGAAAATGCCTCTCCTCTTTGCTACCTTTTTCGCCCAACAAGCGCGGGTTTTATTTCATCTTACAAAATTTTACAATTGAGTTAACTAACACATTTTCCCTGTTTGCAACGGACATGCATGCATATATTTTCTTTAACCATCAGGGTTACATTTCCAATTTTGATTATTTCAATTTCTCCATTATTAAAATGACTCTAGTAATTTGCTTTTAGCCAAAACTAGACCACCATACACGTTTTATTTTTACATTTAATATCAAGAAAAAAAAAATTGCTTGATTTAGTCTTATTCTGAAAAAAAAAATGAGATGATTTTTGAAAAGAATTAACAAAATGAGATTTATCATTTATATTGGAATGAAATTAGTGACAAAAGTTTGGGAATTTTATTTTCAGAGGTGTTCAAGTCACTAATGTTCGAGGCATGCGGGAGAATTGTGAACCCGACGTATGGGTCGATGGGCCTGTTTTGGACCGGAGAGTGGGCCCAGTGCGAAGCTGCAGTTAATGCTGTGATCAATGGCATGGAAGCTTCCAATTCGCAGATCACAGGGACACGTCGCAGCAATCATGTTCCCCAAATCCTTGGTATACGCCACGTGGCGAGAGATGGTGGCATGGATAGGGTGAAAGGAAAAGGCAAGGCCAAGAGGAGCGCCAAGGAGATGAAGCCGAAGCAGCGAGTTGCTGCGCCGAGCCGCGAGCCAGGAGGATCGGAGGGTAAGACTAAGAGTGAGCAAACTGTGGAGGCTTTGTTGGTGAGCCAGGACAAGCCGAGCCGAACTCGTGGAGCCGAGCTGAATTTGGAGCTCACTCTTGGCTAGGCTTTTCTAGTGCTACAGAAGTGCTGCTACCAAACCAATACATAGGATTACATAAGATGGTGGAGTTTAGCAATGTTGTCTGTCAAAATAAAAATATATTATGTTTTTCTTTTTCTCTTTTTAGTTGAACTTTAGAAACAAACAGGAGCATTGGGCGTAGCCTAATGCAAATGTTGGTAGGGCTTATAATTAAGGGTATATTGGTGAATGGAGCAGATACTCAAATTTAATAAAACTCTTTTTTTTTTTTTTGCCAATTAAAGAAATTTATGATTTGAATAGTCAGCAAATAAAATATTTCCACCAATAAATAATCTCGGGGATATTTAATGAACATTTAGGATATCAAATGGTTTCTTTAAATACCCTATTTTTTTAGCATAAAATATATTGTGTGTTTTAATTAATTTTCTTCTCATTAATGGGACTATAAAAGAAATATTTATATTTTTAGTTGAATTGAGATTAAAAAAAAATATTGTCTACTTTTAAAAAATTGAATCTACATTTATAAATCAGTTCGAGTTAAAGTAAAGTAATAACTTTTACTTTTAATGAAAATAATTATAGTGTTAATTTATTTTTAAGGAATAAATTAATAATTTACTTTGAAATAAAGCCAATGTTAACTGAAATCGATGTTTAAAAGAATTAAATATATTTTTAGTCTTTCAAATTTTAAGATAAATTTATTTTTAATCTCTCAAATTTTAAGATAAGTTTGTTTTGAATCTCTTAAATTTATAATTGATCTTTTTAGTCCATATAATTGTCAAAAAAAATTTGTTACAAATTGGTTAAATATTGTATTATGAAATCTACCCACTAATATCTTTATTAGTAAAAAATTATATTAAATCCAACAGATGTTACATAATTGTTTCACTCTAGCACTTTTAGATATGTTGATGATGATCTAAGGGATTAAAACAATGTTTTTAAAATTATAGGACTAAAAAAAGTAATTTTAAATTTAAGGAACTAAAAATAAATTTACTTTAAATTTGAGATATCAAAAATATATTTAAACCTTTTTAAAAATTAATGAGTAATTGATATTTATTTTACTAATTCATTTATATAATTTTTTTAATTTTTTTTATTTTTAAATGTCATGTTACTAAATGTTACATAACTTAAGTATGTGTAAATATTAAAACTTAATGATTAATAGGTATTAATTTTGAGAGAATCAAAATTTTATATTTTTTAAAATTAATTAAAGGAACTGAATTACGAATTAATAAAAATAGAAGGATCAAAAGTATAATTTAGTCTATAAATTATTATATATGATAAAATTATTGCTTTTTGTAATATTTTTTAAAAAATATTTTATGAAAGTTTAAAAAGTTAATAATATAGAAATCATCATACTATCGATATATAAAAATTAAGCTCTTTAAAAAAAATGCCACGTAAATCACCCATTTTCATAAGTATTTATTACATCTTTCAAAATTAAACGATAATAGATTACTTATAAAAGTGAGAATTTTATATGATTTTAGTTTTTAAAATTTTCTTGGTTTTCTTTTTCAGACTTTGTCAAAACATTTAATTTTAGTTGCTAATCTTTTGTGGAATTTATTTAGTCTTTAAACATTTTCATTCCATTAACTTTTTGGTTCATGACATTAGCCTTTTTTTTTCATGAAAAAAGGAATTAAAATCATATAAAATTTATTTAATGACTAAAAAAATTGATAAAAATATAGGAATTAAAAATATATTTAATTGGCTTAAATATGTATTTAGTTCTTTAAATTAAGGTAAATTTATTTTTGATCCCTCAAATTTAAAATTATTTTTTTACTTCTTATAATTTTCAAAAATCTTGTTTTAATCTCCGCAGATACCAAATTTCATCCAGGCTATCACTATTAAGGACAAAGGGCCACTTAGGTGACACGAGTAGCCCTCAAGGGCTCAATAGAGCACATAAATGGACCAGGACGACACTAGAAGATCCAAGAAACTTGAAACCGTAGTTTCAAGCTTGGAACGACCGTTCCCAAACTCGGAACGACTGTTCCCAACTGACAAAATGGCCTATAACCTTAATTGATAATAGGTCATTCCAAAGAGCCATTTTATGAGTAAATTTATGGGCCAGAATGGTCGTTCCAAGCTTGGGAATGAACGGCTGTTTCATGCCCCTGATTGCCTGTATAAGCGAGTATGAGGTACGCTTTTCCACAGACACTGTTCAGTAGACCTAGTTATAGCAAAAATTCTCTCTTTGTAACAAGATTTGAGATTCTTCTTCTATAAAGTTTGCTCCAGAGGTATTTTCCATCAATACCTTTCTCATGTGTAACCGACCCCCGAACCTAAGTCTAACTATGAAGGCCATTATTAATTTTTGAAAACCTTTTTCCTTTTTTCGAAGTTATTGAGTAAAATTTCAGTGGTGACTCCTAAGGACCTTTTTCAAAAATCATTGATGAAGGATTAGTTTGAACTTCGGGAATTCCTTAGCTGATGAGATTTTCAAATGGAAGTCAAAACTATCTGTGGGCAAGATCAAAATTTTTCAACTTCCGACAGTCCCTCAGATCACTAATAATATAACACCTTGAATTTTCTACTAACAAAATTTTTTAATTATTGTTTATTTTTATATTTATTTGGGTTATTTTCTTATAATTATTTTACTTAATTAAGCGAGTTTTAGAAAATATTTTATAGGTTTTTAATAATTAGGAGTGTTTTAATAAATCTTTGTGAAATTATTTTGTATAATATATATTAGAGAAATTTATACTTTTATGATATTTTGTTATAATAATTATTTAGACAAAAAATGTGCTTTTATTAATAAAGAAGATTTGTGAAGTTATTTTGTTATAGAAAGTATTTGGAGAAAATATATATTTTAATTATTTATGTAATTAAATATATTTTAAAAAATATGTGCTTTATATAATTGTTTATACATTTTATTTCATTTATAATTGGGTTGGGAGAAATATATTTATTTGATCTATTAGAATTTATTTATGTTATAATATTTGAGGGAAAGGAAAAAAGAATTAAGGTTAAATGTTTTTACTCAAGGGGGAAGTTTTTAAAATAGGAGTCATGTCAGTTTCTTATTTTCACATTTCTCATTGCTTTATTTTTACGCTTCGTGCTATATAGAATGGGGAAACGTAGAGACCACTCGTGAACATCCCGAAGATCTACGTCCATCTTCTAACACTCATCAGTGTAAGGAGCAATGAGTAGTCTCGTTCTAGATATGAAATATATGTTGGGTAGTGAGATTGACTTTCAATCTCTTATTTGTTCTTACATGTTATATGGGAGGAATCCTGATAGACTATGGCCAAGGTCAAGGAATCCAAGAGGTGATACATTGAAGGAACCAAGAGGAATGAGATGATGGACCATGGGTCAAGGGCCCAATCACTAGAGCTATGGCCACCTTGAAGACCAGTGGACACCTTGAAGACTAGTGGGCTTTCTAAGCCCAAGGTACTCTTCAATTTGGACTACTCTATCATGAGGAGAAGGCATAGTTCTAGTTGTAAATATCTTGTACATAGTTCTCTTGTATAGGCTTATTTTTGCCTTTGTATTTGTGAGGCACTTTAGTTTCTTTTTTTAGTCATTGTATATTGATTCTAAGGTGGGTTACTTGGAGAGTTTGACTCCATTTAACCGCCTTTGTTGATACACTCATTTTCTATTTTTCAGTAGGAAAAGAGGGGTGACATTTAGCAATGCTTGAGGGTGTGACTAGTAATTGGGCCAGAATTAGGCCTAGGCAAAATTTTACATATTGGATTCATTTTGCTCCTAATTTTTCATAGATTTGATTTAGCTAGGTTTCATTATCATTAGATGAACCTAACTAAACCAAATCAAACATTTTTGAAATAATCAAAGTGAGCAAAATGACACATGGCCGCCCACCTTGCCTAGCTCCTCCTTTGGCCGAAATTGCTTTTCTACTTCTCAAGGAGTTGAGAAGCTTGTGCTACAAGCTTCTCCTTAGCTTGCTTCCCAAGCAAGCTAAGTGAGAAGCTTGCTCCACAAGTTTCTAAACTCACCTAGAAGGTCAACTAACCTTACCATGGTTACTAGTGAACCATGGTTAAGGTTAGCTTGCTCTTTAAGCTACCTATCTCTATATATTTGTAATTTCTACTCTTGTAATCACTTTTGACATTTATGAGAATAAGAATTTAGAAATTCTCTCTCAATCAAGAGTCCCAAAATCGTAGAGAACTCTCTCTCTAGGTTTTCCCTCAAAGGTTCTTCAACCTTTGGCCTTGGTTCTTCAAGCTTCTTCAAGCTTCTTGAAGTGGCCGAACCTCCTTCATTGCTTCCTTCACCATTGGAGTTTCTTCAAGGTGTCTTCAAGCATCAAAAGAAAGTCTCCTCAAGAGTGAAAAGGTCTTGGACGGATTGGACTTGGATGAAAATCAATCTTCTTCAAGTTCCTTCCATCAAATCCCAATTTTGTCTTATATTTCATGAATTTGTGTTTTATATTCTTCTTATGTGTATTATATGTGATGTTTGAATTATATATATAGTTAATTATGTGTAATTTGAATTGTTTGAGAATCAGTGAGTGCCTGTAGTTCCTAAAAGAAATTCTTGATTTATAAAGTAAATTGAAAATTGATGTTAATTACATGAAATGTGAAATTGAGGTTGAAATTAGGTAATTGATGATATAATAAAGCAGTATTAGGATCTGATTGTGATTTTTACCGATTGATTTGGAATTTTGGAGTTTAGGGTTCATACTATTTGATTTTCACACATTTTGCAAGTTTTTCACAAATTGGTACTGTGTCAAGCATCAAATGGATAGTGTTGGGTGTCATTTGACGTTATTGTTGCATCATGTCACATTGGGCATGACGTTAGCCATGTTAGGTGCAAGTACTCTCGAGAGAATTTTGTCCTCAAGCATGATGATATCATAAAGAGATTTTGTGGTCTTCATATGAATTATTAACCTTGGATGTTAGCTTTCTAATTTTGTTAGAGTCACCTAAAAAGAAGCTCTAAACCAATCACATTATGACACATAAGTAAATTCTAATTAATTAAATTAATATTAATTAACATAATTAAGAGATGATTAAGAGACCAAATTATATGTCATAGATGGTGAAAATTCTAATGATGATATTAGCTTCTTAGAATTATAATTTATTTGTAAGATGCTTTAATAATTCTATGATGTT